GCCCCAAACGCTAAATCAGGGATTTCTGTATTGAAAATAGCACGACAAGATCATTCCAAAGAGAATATGGGAAAGGTATAATGGGGTTTCCAGAATATTGAATACATTTGGAATCTGTGAAAATTTTATATATTCGCCCATGTGACATGTTCCGAGAGTTTTTGAATTCCCATACTTTTTTAAATTCCCATGTTGTACAAAATGGTGTGTTCAATTTCGAGCGAAAGTGCGCTCGAAAGCATAGCTGTTTTCAATATGTTAGGAAATGTGTTCAATAAAAAAACATATGCAGCGTGTATAAACATTAATTTGAGTAAAGATAAAATGAGGTTATCCAAATTGCATTTTTATTAACATTTCTGATTTCCAGTAGTTATAGGCTGTGTAGATGGAACACACATGTGGTTGAACTAACCACATGAAAACTCATCTTTATACTACAATAGAAAAGGATAGTTCAGTATAAATGCAATGATTGTAGGGAAAAAATTAGATAGTCCTAAAACTAATTTTTCTTTTTCTGTTAGGCGTATGAGAATTCGAGATGTGGACAGCTGCAGACCAGGATTCAGCCATGATGATTTTATTTGCAGCTAGGCAGCATTAACAAAAGAGCCAATGTTATGCAAAATAGTTGGCTTCTAAGAGACACTGGTTACGCTTTAGAAACACGATACAGGCCACAGTTATGGACCAATCTTCACGAAATTTTGCATGTAGGATGGGTTCTGGCCAATGAAGACCCCTATTGTTTTTGGAAAAGATCGGTTAATATTTAGGGGATGAAATGGACCAAAAACTTTATTTTTGTCGGTTTTTCTGGTCGCTCCAGAGGCCGCAATTATGGCCCAAACACCTCGAATAATAAAGATCGGTCAATATTTAGCGGGTCAAATGGACCCTGACTTTCACACAAAAGTAAAATACAAAATTTGTATTCTACAGCGTATATATTTACCCCTGAAGGACCTGGACCCGAAAAGTTTATATTATATCCAAGAGGAGTAGTTGACCTTTAAATTGATACCAATTATATTGTGGTATGTACTCGGATGTGAAAGTTACACTTAAATATGAACAGGTGCTTACGTATTAATATCTTATTTAGTAACCCATAACCACACTAGAGGGCTGAAATATGGCGCTGATCGCTTTAAAATTTTCCATGAGAATCCAGGTATGGTCAAGGACAACGCCTATAATTTTCGGTGATGATCTGATAATAATATTGGGATGGAGTGGACCGAAAACTTAATTTTTTGTGTTTTTTCGATTCGATCTACAGACCACATGCCGAACGTCAGAACAGAACCCACAGTGAATGGAATCTGGATAAGTGTTTAGAAGGGCTGTACTGAATATTGGGAATATCCCGTAAATATGTCAGTGCAAGTAAGAGGTGCTTTTGACCTCTAATCGGGCAAGAGTGTGCAACTATTACGAAATATTGCCCATTTTCGGAATAAAAATCCGCAGAAAGTGAGATTTCCGTGGTAGTTGTGTAGGGTATCGTATGGTCGGCCCCGTCTGACTATACTGCTCCGCTCACTGGTTTAAATACTGTATAAATAAATAAATTTTGTAAAAACACGTTAAATATTACTTCAGCGTGCTTTTTCAACTTGTACGTGCTCAGAAAAATACGTACGATCTCAATTCGTTTTCAATCCACAAGGCTATACGTGCTCGAATTATATTCCCAATATTTTTTTGGGAATTCGGAATGGAGCACACCAAATTTGGGAAAATGTTTCACATTCGAGCAAACTCGAAATGCAGCACATGGGCGATTGTATTATATATCCATCTCAAGTTGCACTGTATAATAAAATTGTCATTCCGTTAAGTTTTTAACCGAATTTTCTCATCGAAGTGCACATCATAATGTGGCATATCAGATCCATATTGAATGAAAAATGAATGTGAAAAAATTAATCAATGCAACGTAGCCCCCATATAATAAAAGTCCCGATGAATTTTAGGCATTTTGAATTTCTATCTCATTGTGGAGGTTCGGTCTGGCCGAACTTAAAGTCATTAAAGATTTGATACTTTCATCCAGCACTATGTTATTTTATATTTCTGAACCGGAGTCTATATATCAATATATGTTAACATTAATAGGCATTTTTTGTACAAATATAAAATAAATTGTAATACTCAACAAATTATTGTCTTTATATAAATATTTTATCTATTAGGAAAAATATAATTAAATGCAAATATTTCTATATAACAAAACTGAACAATTTAATAGGAATTTTGTAATAAATAGCTTAGCTGGTAAAAGTGTTTCTTAGTATTTAATGTTGGTCGGGTTAGTTTCATAGTAAGTTTCTATTTTGTTGCAGAAATCGGTGAGATATTGTTGAAAAGTACGAATATGTAAATAGATGTTAATTTATATATGTATTGAATAGAATTTAATTTATTAATATTATTTTTTTATATATTGCATAAGATATGTTGTATTTGTTACATTTAAACGATAATCGAATACTGGCTCTAGAAAGTGAAAACTATATGAAAAAAATTACAGTTCATAATTATTAAGATAAAGAAAATCATTTTTCTTACATTAAGAAATTTTTTTGAGATTAAAAAATAATAATTAGTTTCATATTTTCTAGAATCAATATCAATTATCTACTTTGGCTATACTTTTGTACGTAGTATTTGAGAGATAAGATTTTGCATAATCAAATATAGTTTTCGAAAAGTGTTTTTTTTTTCTTATATTTCTAAAATTTATTCAACAAATAATGTTTAAAAAATATATCAACGAATATAAAATGTCCATAAAGTGCATACACAAAACGGAAAGAAAATATACAGTGGCGGCGCGGAGCAAAAGGTACATAAGGTTTCCAATAATCATTTTTTTTATTTCACAGATCATATATCTTGGGTTGGGAAAAAGAAAATCCATTATGAAAATTTTGATAAAATCGGAGAAATGATCCCATATAAGGATACCCCCAAATCTCGGTATTTTGGGGTTCTTGAGCGCGTTTTTCAACCGAATTCGCTGAAATTTGGTATATTGGGTTCTTATTGGGTACCAAATATCTCCACTAAAAATTATAAATATAAGTCCATTTTTTCTGGTAGCCCCCATATGAAGGTACCCCCAAATTTCGGCATTTGGAGGTTGTTGAGCGCGTTTTTCAACCGAAATCACTGAAATTTGATATCTTGTAGCCGAATATGGAAACAAATCTCCCTACCAAAAATTATTAATAGTCAACCCCTTTTAGGCGTAGTCCCCATATAACCCCATTTTTAATATTAATATAATTATCTGATTTTTCCGCGTTTTGGGTTTGGTTCTAACACTCTGTTGTAATCATTTCACCTGCGAAGGATGTCGAGATAATAAAACTAGTACGTACGGTTCGATAATGAACTATATGTAAACTATAGCCCGCATTTAGGCTTAGCCGTAGCCCCTGTGTGGGAGGTACCAGAAGGCATGGGCCGATATTCCCCAAATTGGGACTTGAACTAAGTTTGGAAGACTTAATAAGATGGGATGAAATCAAATTTTTCTGAAACGGATTTGGTCTCATGGGGTCTAGAACCAATATTTCGATTAGGCACATTTTCACCGTGTGAAAGTGTATACACACTAATTAGCTATAAGGCTGAGGGTATAATTATTTCAGTAGTGTTGGCGGTTTATTTGGGATACCATTTGTATTTTGTTTTTGCAAAATAGTCAGGCTGAATCCCAGTTTGTTGTTTTTATAAAAAACAACTATTTATTAGTGGGGAATGTATGGCATTGTTTGCCATGGTATTGTTTGTAAATGCCTTGTTAACCTCGAAGTGAGGCTCCAGCGAAATTCTCATGCAGTTTATGCCGTTGGTCAGCTAAGTACTTCGCTTTGTTACAAGAGACATTTGGGTATGAAAGGTTTTTTGTACAGAAGCAATAGCTTCTGGGGAGAATATCCCAACAAAAAAACTAAGGGAACTGATGAGGATCAGTGGCGTGATCCGAAACTATAGTCTTCCCTGCCTTACCCCTCGGCAAACAATGCCATACATTTTTTATAAAAACAACAAACTGGGATTCAGCCTGATTATTTTGCAAAAACGTTAAAAATTATTGTTTACATAATCGGATTTTAGAAATGTCGGTATAGGTCCAGTTTTTGGTATGTTCCCTATATTTTCATTTAAGTACCTGTCAGTATATCACTTGTTCAAGTTAAGTACACGACTTAAAAAAAACAAACAAAATGCGACAGTTATTTACCTTGCAATTTTAGTTGCTTTAGTATTGGCGATTGTGCATATTTTTAACTGAATTCGATTCAATTTGATATTTTGAGACCTCATTTTCAGTTAAATTTTACATCACCACTTTTTGTTGAATTTATTGCATACAAGAACACTTAAATGTTTTTGAATATTTCCTTCTCCTTTTCGGGCTTAATTTTATTTACTTGATTTTTACAATAAAATTGAAAAAATATATATTTTTCAAATTTTGTAATTATTTGATTCAAAGTAGCCACATGCACTTTATGGGCAAATTGTAAACGCTAATTGTTTACATGTGTGTATGTTATTAATTTGATAATATAATCAAAAAATATTTAATGTTATAAATATGAATTGTTTATGAATTATGCAATCCAAAGGGAAAACAATATATATATATATACATTTATATATACATTATAACAAACTTAAAATAATATTTTGATTGTTTTTTGTTCATCATTTCTTTAATTTATTAATATGTAGGTATGTTAATTTGAGAATAGTTCATAGTTGCATAGAAAAATAACAATTTTTTCAAAATATGTAATATGTATAATATATGAAATCATCCGTTTTTATTATATATAATTTATGTTGGTGTAACTGTCTGTTTTTTTTTTCAATCAACTACTATCACAATATGAAATGTTTTTTATTTTATTTTTTTTTTTTTTGTTAAATATATTTTTGATGGATGAGCTTTGAGGCGACACACCCACACACCCACCTTACATAATTACGCATTTTTTCCGTGCCACCGAGCCTTCGCCCTCGTTCATGGCCATTGTTTTTGAGCGCATTAAATTCAAATCCGTTCGTATGCTCGGCCTTCGGGCATTTGGCGTAACCACACCGCAGGCATCGCTAAAACGTCGCTTTATGGAAAGGGCATTCTTCTTTGTACCACCAACGGATGAGTGCGGTGGCAATGTTGATGGTGCTCCAAATACAGTAACCACACGTCGATGGTGATTAGGTGCCATTTCCAAAGGTAAATTTGCAGCAGTAAATAGTTCGTAGAACAATTCATCAATGTGGTAATTTTGTTTTGCCGAACATTCCACAAACACACAACAGTTGTCTTGACCCGCAATATAACCCATAACTTCATCTAGTTGCACAGTCCTGTAAATTGATTATGACAAATTGTATATTTTTGCTATGTATAACACGATGGCTAATATTACCTTTGTTCCTTGTCAGATTTATTACCCGCCAACACCATGGGTATTTTTGGCAAAGCTTTCTTTTTAAAACCGCTGCCAGGATTCAGTGCTGCCCATTTCGTTTCCAGAATGTTTTCTCTTAGGCGTACAACTTCTTCGAATGACTCTCTTGAATCCATGCTAAATACCAATATAAAAAGATCACCTGCAGAAGGAAGAATGGAATTTTATTTGGAATTTAGTAGTAGCTTCAATTGTATGTATAGAGAGGTGTCCACATTATTATTGTTAATATTACATTAATATTGCATCTTATTATTACATTGGCTTAATTTTCTACAGAACATTTAAAATAGGTTATAATTGCAGACCATGTTTTTAATACCATGAAATTTTTTATATAAATCATTCTAGAACCAATTCAGAATTATATGCTCAATGAGTCAATCGGAAGGAAGCAGCATATAAAGTGAAACAAGGTAGGCCGATAGGAAAAATTGGTACAGCTTATCTATTAGACGCAATGACAAACCCTAATGAGATAGGTTCAAATCGTTTCAGAATTAGATAGATCTCTCATGTATATTTTTTTGCGATGTGTTGTAAATGGTGCACCAAATGTATAACGTTTATCCGATTGCAATGATTGGTTTAAGTTTCGTTCAAATCGGTATAGATATAGATTTACTTGTCCGATTTCCAACAAATCCGAAACAAACATTTTTATGCGAAAATATCGATTTTATTATCTGAAAATCGTCCTTAAATATTTTCAGATCCGAATCTGTCTCCGATAAATAATGACTTTTACAATTTCAAAATTATCAGTATTCGTAAATATAGGGTTTCTGTGCAAGAATCTGGTTGTTCACCTTTGCTAGATTCTTGCATGAAATGAAATAAGATGCAATTTAATGGATATGGAGTTAAAAGGAGTATATGTTTTACAAAAATATTTCACATTCCATTTGACGGAATACATGTGAACTCAAAAATGAAAAATGAAGGTATTATCAAAGTCCCGAATGTGTCGATTCCTCGCAGTTCTCAGGACAAGGACTGTCGTACGGCACATTATGACATATTTTGCATTTAGATCTAAACCTGCATCCATATCCAGCGCATGTACTTGGAAAGGGTGCGGTGGACAGCAATTTTTGGCTGACTAAATTTATTATACCCTACACAACTATGTTGTCAGGGTATTATAGCTTTGTGCAGCCCCAAAAGTTTGTAACGCCGCGAAATATTGGTCCTAGACCCACCTTTAAGTATATCGATCGTCATATCTAGACTAGCTGAGTCGATCTAGACATGTGTGTCTGTCTGATTTTTTGGTCGCTCCAGAAGCCGCAATTATGGCTCAAACACCGCGAATTTTTGCATGGAGAAGGGCATCTGGTCAAAGAATAAGCATGCCTGTTTTGATAAAGATCGGTCAATATTTAGCGGGTCAAATAGACCCTGACTTTTGTGTGAAAAATTACAAAATTTGTATATATTTGCCCCTGAAGGACCTAGACCCAAAAAGTTGATAGTATGTTCAAGAGGAGTGGTTGACCTTTAAATTGATACCAATTATATGGTCGTATGTACTCAAATGTGGCTACACTTAAATATTTACAGGTTCTTAAATATTTACAGGTGACATTATTTAGTAACCCAAAACCACACTAGACGGCGGAAATATAGCGCTGATCGCTTTGAAAATTTCCATGAGATTCCAGTTATGGTCAAGGACAACGCCTATAACTTTCGGTGATGATCAGATAATAATTTTGGGATGAAGTGGACCGAAAACTTAACATTTTGTGTTGTTGTTTTTAGTCGGTCTATAGGCCACAGTTGAAAGCCCAACATCGCAATATAACCCACGCTATAGAGAATCTGGACAAGTACAGCCCTCGTCTACTGAATATTAGTAATATATGTTGACCTTTAGTCAGGTTCAACGAAGGTGCAAATAACGCAAAGTTAGATTTTCGTGGAAGTATACTGCTCCGCTCACTTGTTACTAGGTGAATATGTTATTAAAAAAATTGTCATCGAGAAAGAAGTAAAAACTTTGTCAAGTTTGCAATATAAATATCGAATAGTGGGGTGTTCCGTTATATCGTGGGTATCCCGAAACATGGGCCAATACTGAACATTCCTCATAGGTAAATCTGATAACCAAATTGAATTCAAAATACCAGTTTACATCTGATTCTTTTAATGGCGTTTTTAGAATTTCCAAAATACCGAAAAATCAGGGGTACCAAAATAACTTTCAGCAGGAAGATTTAATACCCAATGAGTACCAAAATACCGAAATTCAGTAAGAAGATTTGATACCCAATGACAACCAAACATAGCAATTTATAGCCAATTCGGTAGGAATCCAAACGAGTCAAAAATCGCCATTATACCGAAATATCAAATATTGCGATCCCTATCTTGATTTCAATAGACAGAAAAAGGGCACGCATAAATCGACATGGTATTTTATTCTGATCAAGAATATATATAAACTTTATGGGGCCTCCGGTATATATTGCGAGGTGTGGAAAACGGATTAACAAATTTAATAAACGTTACTATTTGGTGCGATCTGTGGCCCGAAGGTTTGATTGGAGCTAAAGTCTTGGACAACGGCGATGATGTCATCGTCAATTCGGAGCGCTGTTTAAGAATTCGAAAAAAATCTGATATTGATTTGAATTCTCATTTGGTGTCCAATATGACGACCATAAATTGCCCATATTAATTTCCGTTTTGATATAACTCCCATATTACTATACCATAATTATTCGGTATTTTCAATATTTCAGACTTCTTTCTAAACCGTCGCCCTTTATGTTCGATATGTTCAAGGTTCTATTCAAACCATAGCGATACGTATAATCCTGAAAGCTACGAACGATTTGGGGTATTTTAAATGTCCATGGTGGAGGGTATAAAAAGTTCAGCCCAGCTTAAATTGTATTTATTATGCAAGAAACATTTTACATATCCACCTTTAAAACTTGTAAGTTAAAATATGGAACCAAAACATCACCGTAAATAAATCCTAAATTAATTAGGAATACACGTTGGTCTCGTATTCGGGATAACAAAGAAGTAGCTGAAATCCTTAAATGGCCCAATAAAAGTTAAATTTCAAAATACTTCCCAATTGCCATACGATACATTTTAATATAATCAAAAGCAAATGTAGTCATAGTGCTATCGAATACGAATACGATGAGGACATAATTTCTTATCTTTAGCACAATTTGGCATATGATAAATGTTAATTGGTTTAATAAATAAAATAACATTGTACTAGAAAAGGAGGCGTATGCCTTATTCATGATAAGTATTTGAATTTATGTGGAACATGTACAAGAATTTTATAGCATGTTCTTGTTTTTGCCATTTATGAATTTTGTTTAGAAAAAGGCACACTTTGCAAAAAAATGCTATATAATGTAGAATTTCGTAGATAGGTATTCCAAAGGTCTATGTGTATTAGGTCATCCAGTAGGGTCAGCAGAAAACTTTTTTTTCAAAATATATTGAATTTGAAAAAAAATAACACTGTGCGACAAATTTGAATTTTTTTGATAATTACCGGGAAATTCCAACAGATTATAAAAAAAGAGGGGCTAAAAAAAGAAGACACGTGTATCGGCGTTTTGAAAGTTTACGTCGGGATGTAACCTAAAAAGGCGGGGCAATATTCTCCCTTTTCAGGAATTTTGATAATTTTCCAATTATGATTTCTTGAAATCCTTGCATTTTAGGTATATAGTGTCTTCGGCAATGTTACTGACAAAATATCGAGGCATATTTTGGTATGCAACTTTAACCCTCAACCGACTCATTAAAGTGGTCTTTTCGGTCCCTTTTTCCAGGAGTGATTGAAAACTCATTCAAAACGGGGTTAAAGCTGCTCAGAATATTCTAAAGAAATGTTCGCCATAAAGTTTTACTATAAGTCTCAGAATAGACTAAAACTCAAAAATCAGCCTAAACGTCAAAAATCTTAAAAAACAAAAACTCATTACTAGTTTTTACCCATTTTTCTCACAAGGTGTCGTTTTAGAAGGACAAAAATATTCTCCATCAATTTTTAGCATAAGTCTCTGAACAAGAGAAATATGTATATATAATGTATATACCAAATATAGTCATACATTTTGAACCAAAACGGGGTTAAAGCTAATTTTCGAATTATGATTACTTGAAATCCTTGCATTTTAGGTATATAGTGTCTTCGGCAATATTACTGACAAAATATCGAGGAATATTTTGGTATGCAACTTTAACCCTCAACCAAATATTCAAAATGTTTTTGTATTTTTTTGTCAAAGACATTTCCCAGTATTTTTCGACTAAGTGCATTAAAGTAACATGAAACTTGATTTTAGGTATATAATGTCAAAGAATAAAGTATTCTACGTCAAAATCCACTTCAAGTCTCAGAATAAACTATACATTTATATTCAATAGTTTTTAGTTTTCCTTGATATTTTGTCTGTAATATTGCCGAAGACACTATATACCTAAAATGCAAGGATTTCAAGAAATCATAATTCGAAAATTATCAAAATTCTAGAAAAGGGAGAATATTGCCCCGCCTTTTTAGGTTACATCCCGACGTAAACTTTCAAAACGCCGATACACGTGTCTTCTTTTTTAGCCCCTCTTTCATAATCTGTTGGAATTTCCCGGTAATTATTTTTTGTGTTGCACAGTGTAATTATACTTAGATTTTAATTTTTTTAAAAAGATGGAATATTTTTCAAAGATATTTTCGTTACGACAAAAACTTTTGAAAGAAAATAAAGATTAAGAGTTGTGTGTTTCCAGAAAGTCGCCTTTTGGATGTTCTGATATTTGGGCCATGGGTATATTTTTCAATTAAATTTACACGTATATAAGTACAATCACTTTTAAACTGACATACAAGTTGAAAGCATTATAAAATTCGAAAGCATATATAAAAATATTAGCCGAATTTTGCAAGGGTCCTATAAACAAATCTTTAAATATCATTGGGGAGTATACAACTGTTTAGGGAAGCAAACCAATTTTTTGCGGTGTAAATTGCCTTTCGTCATGTATGTTCTCTTAATCTAAAGATTTTATGTTTTTATTCCAATGAACAAATCTAATCAAGAAAAAAAATAGTAATTTTATGTAAAAAATAAAGAAAATAACATCAACGTAATTATTACTTAC